TTGATGATCTTGACGCGACCCCTAAAGTGTCATGTTCTTGTGATCCAAGTTATTACCACAATCGTTAATTTTATCAGCCAATCACGTAAAGTCTTACATCTTTGAGATTGTGAAGCTGAGTACCAGTAGTATGACTAAAGAGCAGCTATGTGTGCCCAATATTTGATTCACTTTAAAATTTCTAAAAGCTGATTTTCCATTGGTTAATTCAAAGGTCGCCAGAACATGACTCCTAAGTAGCCTCTATCAGATCCTCATGTTAGAAAGTAAGGCTCTGATTTTAATCATATTGAACTGGAAGCTATCTAGAAATTGATCACTGCTTTTGGCATAGGACTAGAGTTATTTTTCGGAAACCGCTTTCCTTATAGAAGTCCAATTTACCTTTGTTTTCTGTCCTTTTGACCTTGACCTTTGAGACAAAAATGTTTGGGAGTCTTCCTCGCCTCAAATGCAAGCCATTTTTACATCTTTCATTGTTTATTACCTTTCATTTTTTAAAATTTTAAATCAGTTTCCTCCTAGCTCACAAGTCCCTTGCAAAAGTTTGGTCACTGCTTTTGGCATAGAACTCGAGTTTTTTTTCGGAAATGGCTTTCCTTATGGGAGTCCCATTTACTTTTTTACATGACCTTTATCTCTAAAATGAGTTTGCCTTGTTTCAACATAAACTTACAGACTGTATTGATGGCATGTTGCACATAGCTTATTTTTTTTTCTATTATTCTTTTTCCTTTGCTTTCAGTCCTTTTTGACTTTGACTTTTGAGCCAAAAATGTGTAGGAGTCTTCCTCGATTCAAATGCAAGCCATGTTTACATCTTTTTTCCTTTGTATCCTTGACCTTTCATTTTTTAAAAATTTTAAATAAATTTCTTCCAGGCCGATAAGTCCCTTGCAAAAGTTTGCAATGGTCGATGATGAAGAACTTAAATTTACTGTGGAGATGGAATGGCAATTGACACATGAGTGTAAATGCCAAGCCCCATGTATAGGAATGTGTAGCATAAGAATGAGAATTGTAATATGTAGGAACTGTCAAAGTTAACTGAAAGATATTGTATGAAGTGAAATTAAATTTTAGTGTCCATAGCTGAATTTCCTTTGCTCATCAAAGGAGAACAAATTTTTGCATTGCTGGAATATTTTTGTTCCAGTATAAATATGTGTATGAATGACTGCAACATGATGCTGTGTGCAAAACTAGAATAATTAAGTTGATCTACAAAGTGTGCTTGATGTCCACACCTGTTACTAATGCTTTCAGTTTTCATTTAATTTGATTTGAATAGATTTTGATATATCTGATAAAAAACAGAAACGTATGTCAAATATGATGGTCACTATCTAGGTGTGAGAAAGCTTGCCAGTAGCTTCTCGTTGGTCGGTGGTTCTTTCCGGTGATTTCCCGGTTTCTTCCTCCACTATTAATACTGGCTGCCATGAATAGCCTATCGTGTACTGAAAAATGGCGTTAAGCTCAACAGCAACAGCTATCTAGGTTGGGCAGATCATATTAATAACCAAGACTTTGATAAAATGGTGTAGAGAGATTTCATATCACAGTAATTATAATTATCAGGGCTTAAAAGTTGGAATCATTAATGTTACTTCAAGAGCACAACAATTAAGTATGATGTACACTATTAATTAAAATCATCAATCAGCAAATTGAAAGTGCAAGGGGGTGGCGGCAATTGCACACATTGATATTTAATTTTCTTTCACCAAGCACTGGTTATGTGATATAACTAGATAAAGTGAGCAATATATTTACAAATTTGAAAGAAAATTATTCTGAAAAACTGGATGGGAAAATGATAGGAAAGCAAATACAATTAGAGAAATTTAGAAGAAAGAGGAAACAAATACACCTTTTGAATCTGCAGTTTCATTTATTTGACTAATTAGCTCATCAAAAGTTTCTATCCATATGCAATAAACTGGTATTAGGACAGCAAATTAGCCTGTATATTACTACATTACATGCATTGCAAAAGAAATTGTACAAAACTGAACGTATAAAAAGACCATAGATGCTGTTACAATTTTTATTGCTAAAAACAATCAAAATTACTTTTATAATGCTGTGTCAAAATTAAAATGAGTATTACTTTAAAAGACAGTTCTAAATGATGCATCTAACTTCCATCAAACAAAAATAATATTTGTATTCAAATTAAAAAAAATAGTAATGCTCACATGTATACATGTAACACATGCAAACAGTAATGCTCACATACATTACAAGTAATAGATGGTAATGCTTGCATGTGTTCTACATAATAGCTTGCATATATGTATGTAATAGATAGTAATGCTCACATGTATTCCAATTAATAAACAGTAATGCTTGCATGTTTGCATGTAATAAATATTATTGTTCACATGTATTCAAAGCAATAAATTGTAATGATTCTCAGTATTCACCAACCACTAATTAATTGATTGTTTTTTTAACTGAATTGTCAACATTAAGAACACTAACATTTACACTATACTGTTAAATTGACTCAGCCCTGTACTTGTAATATTTAACAGGCTAATTCAAAAGACAACATAATGTATGTTCTTTTCGTCATGGTAATACAAATAGAGCATTAATTACAGGTATTCATATCAACAACAAATGCATATCATTCTAAATAGGTTTGTGTTGAAAAATGTAATTAGTTATGCCTGTACAAGTCATTTGTCTGGTTTTTGCTTCATTCTGCAATTTAGGTTTTGGTCCATAAAGTCCACAAAAAATAAAAGTGTGAGAAAAAAAAGAAAAACTAATGCAACTACACAAAAAATAAAACTTTGTCATCTATAAACGAATACGTATACATCTACTATATTTTAACTCTCCATGTCAGTTGGCCTGTGCTTAATCCTTCTAATGATATTTGTTCCTCGAATTTAATAAGATATGCATGCAAAATATGATTTGCCTATGTTTTGCTTCAAATTAACAAGGTTTTGCACACAATGTCTCAAGTCCAAAATAGTTCAAAAGTGTATAAAATAAGAATATGAAAGACTGTTGTCACAGCATTGAAACATGATCAGATCCTCTTCATCTGGATTCAAATATGCAAGCCACACTTCATTTTAATTACAGCAAAAACTAAACACATGCTTTCTTGAGTTTCCTAACTGTCAAGGTCTTATTCATCATCTATGTCATTGACAATATTTGCATCAATTTCAGCTTCCTCTAACTTAGCATCATATACTTCGAGAAGCTGATAAATATCTTGCAGTTCATCATCTGATACTCTACTCTGAAATGACGAAATGTTCATGCACTGTAAAACATGTTGCATCATTGGCATTTTATTGTGCTGGATTTCTGTATAAGGACTGAATTTTTTGGAAGCATTTTCTATAAGATTTTCATATTGAAGTTTGAGCAACAACAAGCAGTTGATTTTTCCAAGTATAGCTCTGGCTTTTTCCACATCCTGAAGACTAGATATTTCCTCCATTATGATCTTCTCTTGCCTATATGCCCAAGCTAGATAAGCCTTCATTTTGACAGAGGATGCTTCTATTTCTTCCTATGGTCTCATGTACGAAGTATAATACTTATTGACCTGTAATTTTAATGGGTTGTTTGTGTCATCAGATGTTTGATATATCTGACTCAACAGTGTACTGACATCAGCAAAATTAAGTCTACTCCCATCTAGTTTTTTTAGCTCATTTAGCCTATGGTTAGGTTTTTTTATTTGTCTGCTGAAGCTTTCTTCCAACTCTTACAGCAATATCCTGCCCATCTGGAAGAAAGACAGTTAAAATAAAATTAATAGAGTAATCATGTGCAGATCTATGGGTTTGAATTAGTTTTAATATGTACTCTGCTGGATCAAATTTGAATATATTCAACTCACTATTTCTGAATGTTACCTTGCTTTGATACTACCCTTAGAAAAAGATGAGAGTATGAATTGATGAACGTTTCTGTGAATTCCTAAGAACAGTTTACAAAGTATATACATTATCGACTATACATTTGCAGAAATTGGTTTTTCACTGTAAACATTTTCAGAAAAAAGTAAAATGTAGCAGGAAAGTAATTTTCTTCCCCCATTTCCTTGTGATGCACACAAGTATTTTTTGAAAACCCACAATATCCTTGATCAGGTTTAATTACCTGCATATTTTTTTCAGCAATGACAAGAGAAAAGTTCTCTCAGTAGCAGACTCTTTCAGGATCTTAATTAAATCATGATTACTTTAAGGTGACCATTCAAGAAGTTAAAAGAAAAAAAACTTGCCTCGCTAATAATGGATCATATATGGCCAAGGATAAAGTGCTATGTCTGTGAAAATTAGGATACATGAAGGCTTGCATAAGACTGAATTTCTTTGAGGAAAAAGATGGAGAAAGAGAAAATTTTTAAATATACTCACCTTTGCAATCAATAACACACAAAGATCTTAAATATGAAGATATGCAAATTTCATGATTTTTTTCGCCTCGGCATATCTTCTGACCTTGCCACAAATGGAATGAAGAATCTGCCCTGTAGGAAAAACATAAAACATACATTATAGAATCTGAGTAAATGTACATATAGATTAAAATCATCTCAATACATGCCAATCTGACCCTTACAAGAATGCAAAGTTTTTAAATAAATAGGGTCCTTAGATTCACTTGAGTCAAATTAATGTCTTTAAAGCTCTTACTTAATGCAGGATCTATTAAAAGAAAATATTTAAAGATGAAATTCCCAATCCATGTGAAAACAAGTGGGAAATTTTCTAATTACAGTGTGTGATTTTGAATTTTTACATAGCTTTAACAATTTTTCAGTCATATCACAATTTCTGCAGTGTGGCAGTTATATAATGATGTCTAACACTAGGGCATCATGCCACAGACATGTGTCATGATGTACCACCTAGTCACATTATCCTGACACCATGCTGACCAGTCCCAACACTAACCTCTTAATGCTGAGTGCCAAGCAAGGCAGCTGTAGGTACCATTTTTGTAAGTCTTTGGTATGATTTGGCCAGGGATTGAACCCACAGCCTCCTGCATCTGAAGCATATGCTCTAACTACTAGGCCACCAGAGCGGTCTACAGAAAATATTTCCTGAAAAATATATGTAGGACTTGCACACATAATGCATGAATTTATTGCATTTGGTTGATGTTTCTGTGAAATTGAAAATTAGTGTAATCTCACATTTGTGTGCCTTACAAGAGGCCTTATTTCAAGGGGCTATGTTTATTTTATCACCCAAATTTTGACAAATAACGAAGTTCTTGTAAATTACTGTGGTAAAGTTATCCAAAGTTCTCTCTGATAATATATTTATAGTTTGATTATTATTACATTCTCATTCAAAATAAAACATTTCCTCTCTCAGATACTGTGGAATAGAAATAAGTGTGCATACACATTCACTAGCTCAAGCAGTTTTTGTAAAATATTTGAACAGGTGCTTGCTAAATTGAATATTATTTTCTATTTGCAAGCCTACCATTTATTCAGGATATAAGCAGTGTAATTACTAGACTCTTGTCATTCCCTATCCTCAATCAACTAGTACTCCTGGTAGCGGCATTAGATGATGAAAGCCAGTCCCTATTGTCATAAATATTAATTTTAATTCAGTTATTTCATATGATCTCTAAATTCATAGGAGCTGCATTTATATTAGCCCAGCAGTTGTTATCAACTTAAAAAACTTAAGTATTTATTATAAAGACGTCAGACATCCTGTCAGTCTTTAGGATTTAAAGCGCTATAAAATATAAAGTAAACTAGATCAAAGAGAAGCTTACCACATTTAGTGATAAAAATATTCACTTTCGTAAGTTAATGGACTTGACTAATTGTCAAGACAAGATAAGAACTGCTGCAGATCTTGCTTTTAGTGTCTTATTTGAATCAATGCTGATGCTTAGGTGTGGCAAAAAAGAAGCAGTGGTGAAACTTGGGGGTAAACACTAAAAATGTGTAAAAAATCTGAGACACACACTGTTCTTTAAAAATGAGCCAGGTTTAAAAATACAAACATTTAGCAAATTAATATATCTGAAACTATTCTTAAAGGATGAAATTCAATTACACTCCTTGTGGATGAATAAAAAAAAAAGGCAGTTCATGTATAATCGATATTCAGTTTGAATTAGTTTAGAAATCCAGTCTAATATTAAGCTACATTTTATATTGAACAGCAACTATAGCAATAATAATAAATCTCAGGAAATACAAAACATTATATTAAACAGTTTACAAATAATGTCAAAGCAGATACGAAAAGTACATACATGTATATGAAGTCCATATATGGTGTTAGTAACTTAGTTTTCTTCATCATGTGATTATATTTTGTAACCAATCAAATTGCTTTTTAGAAATATTTGGTAAAAAAATTTATTCTAAATTGCATTCCATATGATTTGTAATATTTTCAGTAATATGCAAATTTCTGACAATCTATACATTATAAAATATCAAGTGATGAAATAGGATTCAATAAAACCTGTACAGTACTGAAAGAATACAAATTCTGTCAAAACAAGTTCCAAGAAAGGCAGCCTATAAAGAGAACTGTCAGGCCATCAAATAGCATCATTAACAAAAAAGTGGTCTAGTCATTCCTGAACGGTTGTCCAATGAAAAAAACAACAGTTTTCAAGTTACTCCTTCCTTGGCAAAATGTCATCTGACAATAAGCAACTCAAGCAGATCAGCCAATGAGGATGGGATGGAGGTCATTGCTGTATTCCTTACTGTGACCCAAACCCCATAAATACCAAACTAGGGTGGTTGATGATATTTTGCATGGCACTTCAATTCCTGAATGCAGTCCCTGTAATAGTTTTAAGGGCTGGGGGAGAGGGTGTGTTAAGATAAGTAATGATTATTGTGTGGATCTTTGTAATAGCTTGATTCTGCAATATGATGTCAGTTTACCTTCCATATTTGGGGAGTATAAAATAAAACTGTCTGATAGACCTCATTACAACACATCTGACAATAATAGGCAATTGTGGTGCAATCGAGACATCGGATTATTTCCTGTTCCTCTCTGCAACACTTGCTGCATTTGTGTGTAGTTGGTGACATTTCTTCAACCCTTGCATCTACAAGGTCTGCTCTTAGAGCGGACCAAGCTTCTGCCAGCTTTTGCCTTCAGCTCTGGTATCTTGCCAGGGGTTCTCTACCTTAAAATAAACAAAACTTCAGTAATTTCTCAGAATAGACTGCTTTTGTAAGATCAGTTATCATGCTGCATCTCAAAATTAAGTGTTCATGACATTATAATGTCACTGTTACATCACTCTTTACAAAGGTGTATTAGAGCATTATGAATTCTGCATGAGATAACATGCAAAATGACAAACATATCTTTGAGTTCTTTCTCTTAACAAATATTAAAAAATTAAGTTTGTAATAACATTTACTAATTGTAATAATAGTGTGAAAGAAAACAATCAAGTAAACAAAACTAAGTTTGGAATCTTAAACACTTATAACCTAAACCAATATAACCTCAATAACCAAAATGGGCAAAATAACAAACATCCTCTTTTTATTACGAATTAAAAAAGTTATTGATGATATTCAAATGACAAATTTTTAGAATTTCTTAATACTCATTCAGCCATTATGTTCTCTGCATTTTGGGGCAGGTTACTTTTCTCCTTGTGTTTCTAGGGAAGAAACTTTGGGGATATATAATCAAGCAAGTGTTAGTTGTAGGGTTTAACGCCATTTTTCAGCACAAGACAGGCTATACATGGCAGCCAGTATTAATTGTGGAGGAAGAACACTGGAAAACCCCGGAAAGAACCACTGACCCATGAAAAGCTACTGGCAGGCTTTCTCACTTACCCACGTTATACGAGTCTGGATTCAAACTCACACAGGCAAGTGTTAGTAATGAAAAGAAATGCAAATCAACTAATGCATTTTTAGGTCAGTTTGGATTGCTTAGGAACTAACTAAGCAGTGTGCATGCATAGTTTATATAATCAAACTTGCTATCACAAACATTTTTAAATGCATTCAAATTTATTTACTGACAATAATTTTTTAGTTTTTGACTATTTCTTCCTGCTAAAAAGCACAGTTCCTGCTTCATGATACAATCAATTCAAACAGTGCTTACAGGACAAGAATTGCTGTTGTTGTTGTTGTTGGTCTTACACCTTTTTTCAGCACATGATAAGCTATTAATGGTGGCCAGTATTATTGGTGGAGTAAAAAACCGGGAAATCACCGGAAAGAACCACTGACCCACGATAAGCTACTGGCAAGCTTTATCACATATCCACATTCACTGAATCCTAGACTCGAAGGAACACACACAGACAGAGGTGAGATGGCAGTGATCCATAACAGACAGCGCTTTAGACCACTCGGCCACTCCACTCGGGGCCTCTAAGAATTGCTGTAGACATGTTCAAAATTAGAGTACACATACATGATTATACACCAACTCAAATAAAATCACTATAATCATATGTACCATGAATTAGTCTGAAACACTATACTGTTTTCAGTCTCAGATGCATTATGACTAATTATGCTTCATTCTGGTATGTATTCTCAAAACACCTTGCTTGTTAAAAAATTTAAATTAATTCCAAACATGGGAGTACACAAGATATTTCACATTATTATCTATAGCCCTGCATGGATCTTAGGCACAATATAAATAATCTTTTAATAAGCAAGATACTCAACAGTTTAGAAGCAATCATCCTTTTAAGTTTTGATGGGAAAATATTTGTCTAAGTTTGTCACTAGCATTTGCATAAGGACCTTGTACAAATTTAGATAGTTAGAATTTCAAATTGTTTCATATCACTTTATTTTAAAAAAAATCTTTGCCAATATTGAAAAAGCCAAGCTAACTGACTTGCATACAATCTGAGTTTGTTGATGGTTTTATCTATGTTCAATACACTCAAAAGTTTTATTCCTGCCACTAACTTTTATATGCATTATCTGTTTTTCAATATATGTTTGTTCTTCATTTCTTTTGTTGGACTTAAATATTGATAAAAAGTTTATCGTAATACAGCAGTACAGCACAAACTGTGGTTTTATGCTAAGAAAGTTTCTCACTAGATTGTAAACTTCCGGAAGGTATCTGTTTGCCTGGGTCTGCACACTGTCATATATGACTTGGATTATGGTAAAATATTGTAAACTATATCTTCCCAATGAATAATGCATATATCCCTGCAGATCAAACTGTTTGGTTAGCATCCTGAAATATAGAAATCTCTGTGGACCTCTCTTTTATTACAGTTCACTACATTACTTGTACACTGTCATCACACAAGTTCAAACATGATTTAGTGTTACTTTTTGCTAAACATTATCACATAATTGTCTTAAAAAACTCTTGTATATCTAAATTATGTCAACATACACTAAACAGAATTAACCATTAAGACCTTATCTATATTTTATAGTATTTTTCAAGATCCATAAATAATATTTTTGTAAATAAACAAAACTATATGCATAAAAAATTACTCTATTACCTGCATCATCATGAGAAGATTGTAATGATGATGCTGGAGAACTTTAAATGCTCTCAGATTCATTGGCAGTAGACTGAAATCCACTGGAATGAACAGGTATGGGCACAGATGAGCTCCTCAACACTGAATATCTTACATATTCTGTCCTTCTTCTTGATCCAGAATACACAATCTTCTTCACTTTTGGAAACTTTTTTAAGAATCGCCCCATTTTCGGCAAAGCAAACAATTCTAAGAATTGATAACAATAGCTGCTACTTGTAAGCTTTTGGTAAAATATGCACTGTTTTTCTTCCCATCATAATAGACTGTCAGATTCAATACAGTGAAAGAGCATATTTTCCAGTCATCTTCATAGCTTTTCTGTTTAACAGCAATATGTGCTGCCTGTATCCTGTGTATTGCAATAGCTTTTCTGTTTAACAGCAATATGTGCTGCCTGAATCCTGTGTATTGCATAGGATAACTATCACATTTTAAATCAATGACATCTGACCTATAGTTTTGCAACATAATATTTTCGGTATGCCAGTACTAAATGGGAAAATCTTTAAATCAATGAC